CGGGGTCAGCCCCTCCCGGGCGGGAGTGCCCCGCGGGTGATACAGCCCCTGGCATTTCTGCCCGGAGTCCCACCGCCGCCCGGCCCCTGAGCGCTCCCCAGGGCAGGCAGCTGCCCTCTCCCCCGCTCTCGCTTTCCGCCGTGTGCCGTGTCTTTGCCTTTCCATGGCGTGGATGCTTCAGTAACGGGTGACGTCCTATGATTCAAATTAATGACATGTTCGTTATAAAGCCAGAAATTCTGCCGCTTTGAAAGCATCGGTGATGCTGAGTGTGTTTTATCGTTGGATCTCTAGCAACCACTGAACACAGTCATTCCCAAAAGATCTCTTAACTGGAACAATAATGCCAAGTATACAAGGGAGAAATCTGAAATACTCAGTTAATGTTAACTTCCATGGAACCTTTGACAGTTTAATTAACCTGCAAATTAAGCACAAGAAGTCTGTTTTCCACTGTGCAGCCTAATTGCCTGTTGGCATTGCTGGAATGTCTAAGCAGAAGGAGAAGTGGGCTGAAGATAGCCACATTGTGAATAAAATTGTATAGTTTAAACATAGTTTGAAGTAGTTTGTTCACTCTTGGCGGAAGAGGTAAGAGTAACTACTCCTTACTGCCCTGTCCGTTGGAGAGTGTGCCTGTGTTTCTGGTGCAGATTTCTGAAGGAAAAGACACTTTTGAAGTAACCAGGGTATGGATTTCTAGAGCGAAAGTTAGAGAAAAGCAGCATTTTGAAGGTGAAAATGACATATCTTCTCAGCACTGGCCACTGATTTCTGTTCCAAGATACACTTACCATTAAGGGTGCCCAGAGGAAGACTGCAGTCCAGAGGTGAAGCAAAGTTTGAAGGAAAAGATAATGCACTTGACTCAACAGGCTGCTAGGAGCAGTGATTAGTTAAACAGAAAGGGTGCTGGGAGAGCTGCCAGATTGCATCAGGCATTGGAAACGGTACTTGGCTTAACTACACTTGAGAGGAAGTAGGAAGGACTTTGACATAGGGCCTCCATTTTCAAACCTTAATTTAGGTTTTAGTGTAATCAAGTTAAAAATGACCAGAATATAGACCTTTCAGTTGTTGCAGGTGGTATGTAAATGCAAGTGGGGATACGGACATGTGGAGATATATCATCCTGATTTAAAACCCATGTGGCAGTTCAGACAAGTGTATGTGTAACATGAGCTGTTGGGAATCAACATACCTTGTCTCTGTGTATTGATGCCAGCTTCTTAGCAACACCCCTCACACCTAAAAATTGGTCCTTGCAAAGTGCTCAGCACAGTTTCATCTCCGTGGAAAGCTTTCAGCTTCTCCTTTTGCTGTTGACAGCTTCTGTTGGCTCCTGGAAGGAATGGCAGGTACCTTTCCTTTCCTCTGAAGAAGCTTCAGTCATTCTCCTTCTTTGCAGAAATAGTATTTATATACTTCATTATGGGAAGTTGTTAGATCCTGATGTACACATCAAAAGGCATTTGTATTTCTGCCTCATATTTGCATATATAGATACATAGTGGGAGAAGACAGTAGCATCCGTACACGCAGACCCTGACAAAGCATACTAAAGCAGTGACACAGAGGCTTTGCTTTTTTTCCCCCATATATTGCGTCTCCAAGGAGCTTTATGGACTGCTTAATATTTTACACAAAATGGTGTGTGAACAGAATGTTAGGCCTGTAAGATGAATTAATCATCAGGAGACAATTATGTTAAGGTTATTGGTCTTGATTCTGCCAAAGGTTGTCTCTGTGGTATGGTATGATTTTAATTTACAAGTGCTTGTGTCTTTTTGTTCCTGTTAATCCTTTTCCCATTCAGTTTGGTACATGGAGTGTGCTCAAAAAGTGAAAGAGCAGTTCAGAAGGTAGCTTCCCCTCCATTCTTCAGTGTTTCCACTCCATACCTCATATACTTAAGTGTCTGCTACCTTCCACAGTGACTGGGGCAGCATTCAGCAGTTTTGGCATGGAAAGAGAAATTACTGAAAACTTTTTTTTGGTCTTTTTGTTTTTCTTTGTTTTGGTAGATTTTTTTTATGTTTTGTTGCTCTCGTGATTGTTTGTTAATGTTATAATGCTGTAGGTGTTTGATGTCCATTAATTGGGTATTTGTTTTCCAGTATGTCCTGTCTGTCCTGCAATTTACCTACCCTACCCTTTTTCAAGGGTAAGTATTGTTTTAAGACCACGGTTGTTTGAAAAATTACTTTATTCAGTAAATGTCTTGCTTTTCCATGCTGAAGCTAACTTCAGTACCTCTTGTCATTGCTGGCTTTTGCTGTCTAGATAACATACTTCATGAAGCCTTAGTAAAGCATTAATTAATGTGTCTTGGTTAATTTTTAAACATCATGATGATATAATTAAGGCATATAGGCTCCATAATTTATAATTTTTCTAAAAGTCTTAGTGCTTCAACGCAGAAAAGTAGCAAGTATACTACAGCCTGTCTTCCTTGGAAATGGCAGTCATGGCTAATGTGCAGTTGTGATGTATTCTTTCACTATGCGAATGAAAACCAACCTTAAGCCCATCTTTAGGCATACACAAATACCATGTTGCTTATTTTCACGCTTAGCCTTTGTTGTAACTCTGTATCACAAGTCATATCTTTCACTATCATATCTTAATGATTGTAATGAGAAATTTAATGTTTTGTTGGGTATTCATATATACCATCAGTGCTGTTAATTTGTGAGACACTTAGTGAAAATCTGGCCTCTTAGAGTCAAGACTTCCCCCATTTGTTCTTTTGAGATAATGATAAAATCTTCAGGCACTGGTTATCTTTAATTCCTTTATTACTGCTTAGCATGGCTTATATTTTTGCCTGACTTGCAGGCCCTGATCAATAATTGCCATCTGAGTATACACTCTTTTCTTTGAGTTTACTCAGCTTTGCTAAATATGGAAGGAATGCTTTCTTCAGTTCTGACACACACACACAGATTGTCTCTTGGACAAGGCTTTTATCATAGGGGGAACGAGTTTTGAGTTATATTTGTAAAATACAAGTGTGGTGAATCAATAGTAAAAAGTATATTTCAATGGCAAGCAACTGTCTTATGATACCTGTGTTACCACAGTTACCTTTTTCTATTATTTGGAAATGCATCTCAGCATCTTATTATTTTTCAGTAAGTTCTGGCTTTTAAAGGTGGCCTTTCCTTGAAAATTAAGTGGCTCAGATGTACTTTCATTTAGAGCTATGACAGGTGAGCAAAGGAGGAAAACAATGTTATTCTCAGTTCATACTGTTGTTGTTCATTGTCGTTGCTTTTGTTCCCTGTATAATCTAAGACTGTATTGCATAGTGCTAAGGACCTGGAACTGTTACTGACTTCAAGTTCTGTCCTTAAAACCTGGGACAAGAGGAAGTTCTTCACAATAAAGTTGATGGGAATTTATCACTAGCTTGGAATAGAGCATAGTCAGGCAGCAAATATCAGGTATACCTAGCGTTTAAGTTGTCATATGCTGCTCATTTCAAAAAAACTGAAGTAAGCTGTGATAGTAGCATTGAATATTCATCATACCTATATGGTCAGCGAGCTCACGCTTCTCTGACACTGTCCAACTGTATGTAATACTGCATAGAGTGAATATTTCTTTATTTGCATATATGTGAGAGAGATTTTAAATAATTGCTTGAATGCATTGCAGTGCATGGAAATAATAAACAAAATAATCTCTATGCCTGTTACAGATGTTAATGTGATTTAACGCTGTACGACAGTATCTCTGTCTGAACTATGCTAGATGTTCAAGGATTTTCACCCAAGAAACATGAAACACCTTTCTGAAAACCATTTTCACTCAAGAAAGATGAAACACCTCTCTGAAAACCACTAGCTTAAGGAAGGAGGAAGCTAATAACTTATGTTAAAGCTTACAAAAAAAAAAAGTGTACATCACTACTAATTTTAAGGTATCTGCAAGCATTTCTAAGGCCTCACGTACTATTTCCATCATAGACTAAGGAATGCCTTTATGGTAGGATAAGTCATTAGATACTTAAGTCAGTGCAGAATGTGTGTAGCTGTTATACACCTTTTCAATGAGAAAACCACAGTATTGTGGTCTATATACAAGGTTCTCTGGCTGTAAAGATGTTTTCTCTAGAGGCTCTGAATCAGAGGCTCATGCAGCATAATGATGTTACCGTTGATGACACTTCACTTGGTGCTTGCTGCACAAGATTCAGGGGGAGGGGAAGCAATCTGTGTTCGAGGGAGTTTGTAATCTAAGCCCCACATGAATAACCATGGAAAGGCATAGAGCTAATATTTGAAACTACTAGGACTGCACACATCGTCCTTGGGGCCTATTACTTCAGCTGAAGCGAGTCTTTGAATCCTGAAACCATGTTTATTTGTTCTAACAATAACAGTTTATGTACAAAAAGATACTAATCTCTCAGTCACAAACCTTGCCTCACTTCTATCTTCAGATCATCATGGCTGTAACATTACTATTATTATTGTAAACCTTGCATGGGAAGAGATGATAAAATGAGGATTCAATAACGTGACTAAGGTAATTGTGGTAGATGATAATTTAAAATACATTTGAAACAGGAGGTGGAAACGCTAGAGTATTATGAAGTTTGGAGGAAATGAAGGCCCATAAAAATGAAAGACTCAAAGAGGTATAGTGACATCCCTGGAAACCTAGAGAAATGGTAGATAACTAGAGTCATGGACGTGATGTGAGAAATACTGTGGACTGTAAGGTCATGCTCCACATTGTTAAAAAACACAAACAATTCAGAGGTGCCATTTTGTTTCTGTTTCAGGTGGCAGACATTAGTGGGTGGACTTCTGCTTCATGTCTCCTGGAAGCTGGGCTGGGTGGAGATAAACTTGTGTTCAAGGTACTGTGGGGTTTTCAGTATCTGCTAAATAACTATGTTCTAACCCAACTATAGAAAATAAGTAAGTTGGTTGTGGAAGTTACTAACTTGCTAAAATATCAGTGTGTCTGTGTGTGTTTATATGTGTTCCGCTTCACAGGTGTAAGAGAGAAATCTTGTGTTTGAGTCTAATGAATTTTCAATAACACACTCTTCAACTGATTACTAATATAAAGTGGATTCAGTGTAACCTTGGTGAAACAATCGAAAAAGCACAGCCATTGGTGAAAGCTCTGAGGATTACTTATACAACCATCTGTCCACATCTCTTCCCTGGATTGTTTTATAGTATTCTAAGAGAAACCTTGGTAATGTTCGTTAAGAGCATTGACAGATGTGTCCCCAAAACCTCAGTGCAGTGAAGTACACAAATGCAGTCTGCCTTTTTCTCCAAGAAGTGTGTCCCATAAATGGGAATCATTCACCCTTGCCTAACTTTAGCATTTATAACCGCACAGCAAGAGCAGCCATTGCAGTACAGGTTTGATAGAATAATCAGACTCCAAATTAAAAGGTGTTGTGTTGGCAAAAATCATCTGCTTCAGACTTTACTCTGAAGCTGGCGGAATTGGACTGGGTGGTTGCCAGGGTTCCCTTCTAATGTAACTTTTTCCAGTGATTCTGTATTAGCAAGCCACAACTGATGAATTTTCTGTTTGGTATTCAATGGAATTGGACTGAGTGGTTGCCAGGGTTCCCTTCTAGTGAAACTTTTTCCAGTGATTCTGTATTAGCAAGTCACAACTGATGAATTTTCTGTTTGGTATTCAAATAGTTGGAAACTGAATCTCCTAATTTGGAATTAAATCCTACATGTATGTTGGAAGAACCAGGTTAAGTTCTGTTTTCAGGTCCATGCAAGTGACTACATCACCACTGAAACTTAAGTGAAGTTGTAAATGGAAACAAAATTTAACTTCCTATATTTTATCTGCAGTATAGATAAAGTGAGGATATTTGTGTAAAAGCTATCAGTGATATAAGAAGAAGCAGGATTAGGGTCCAAACCTTGCTTTAGTGGCAGTTACTGATACATATATTATTATCAAATGTATATTGTTTATGCAGATTTTGTCTTCACAGAACAATCTAAAGGACAAAGGAGTACAGCCATCAGAAATATCCTTTTTAGTTCGACTTTTTGTCACTAGATGATTACTTTTGCTTTAAATTGTGAAATTAAAGAAGTTGAATCTTTTTTTCCAGCTTGGAAAAGATATTTTAATTTTTTCAAGACTTGGAAGGCATTGAAAAAAATACCGGACAAGAACCATTTTCTGATGTTGAAGCAGATGCTTTTGTCTAAGAAAAGTTTTAGTGAAAGATTAATTCGTGTTTTGACAATAGAGACTTCAGGCCACCAGATGTCAGCACATTATAGGAGAAGTGATTAAAACACATCCTGAGAAACCTCTTCATTAGTTTAGCTAATACAGAATGCCTGTTCTAGAATAGACTGAATGAAATTACCAGAATTAATTGGCATGTTTTAGGTACAGTGCAACCAACTGCTTAATCATGAGTTTAAATCTGTCTTTCTTCAGAGAATTAGGCACGGACTGTAATGCTTTGCTGAGCTGGACTTGTAGCATATATCTCCTGTATAAAAAAAAAAAACAACAAAAACAAAAAAACCCCAAACCCAACCAAACAAAAAACCCCTCAAAAAACAAACGTAATGTCTCAAAGCTTCTGTCTGCCGCTTCCTCTCAAGCTCCTTCCCCCTCCCAAGCTGATGACATTTCTCCCCCTCTTACAGAATATTGGTTTCTGAATCTACGTGGTCTTTGGGTTTGGTGGGGTTTTTTGGTATATGTGTAGGATATTTAAGAGTACCATATCCAGTCCCCAGTCCTGTCATGCTTCAAGAAATAAACTGCTACTCTTTTTTTTTTTTTTTTAATTTCCAAAAAGTTTCAGTATTTCTGTCATAAGCTGATCTCGTATGCTTTCTGAGCCAGTTCATATTATCCCAGAGTGTCTCAGCAGAATTATTTTATTATACAGAGATCATCATCCTTTCTCTAAAGTCAGGAATACTAGCTTCACAATAAAAAACAAGTAAAAACATACTACTTAGAGTAGTTTCTCTTAGATTTTGTGGATATCCTGCTTTTAATTGGCTTCCCACCAGTACTCCCAGCTGTAAGGGACTCTATCAACATCATCATTTCTTATGAAGGGTGAATGGTGACTGTCTGCAAAACTTGCATCCAAAGCAAAGTCTCTGTGGAGCACAGGGGAATATATGCTGTCCACCAGCACACCCAGGTCCTTTTCTGCAGAGCTCCTCTCCAGCAGGTCAGCCCCCAACCTTTACTGATGCATGCGGTTATTCCTCCCCAGGTGAAGGACTCTACACTTGCTCTTGTATGTCCTATGTGTTCTGGTTGGCATTTCTTGTAGTGCTGAATTTTCCCCACAGCTAAGCAGCAGCACAGAGCCTTGCTTAAGCCAAAGCTCCAAGTGTGGTTTAGGAGAAGCTACCCATTGGCTTTAGCGGGCTTTGGATCTAGCACTACAGCCACAAGCTTATCAGTTCATTTATGTCACTGAGCTTTCCTGTTTTTGTGTGTACACCACTGTACTACCAACATAAGTAGCTACTAATTGGTTTACATACAAGACAGATTGTTGGTGCTGACACATTACATCAAACATCAATGCATTCTTTTTCAGTCCTGAAATTCCCACTTGGCAGCATGGAAAAAGCATCTGAAGTCCTTTTCCATTGCATTTCATACTATTGCACTGGAGATGATGATGTATTTGGGATTCCTAGAATTTAGTGGTGGGGAACATGAGAGAGTGTTATGTTCTAAATGAAAATTCAGTTTTCATCATGTGCTCCTTTCATCTTTGCAGCCCTCCTTACTTTTCTTCCCACCCCTTTCTTCCATTTGTTGCAGTTCTAATAGGGTGGGGGTATTTTTGTTGGAATCTGATGTGACCTTGTTGGTAATGAGGTATGACAGTTTTAGATCCTGGTCTTGGTGAAATTCCAGTTGAAGTCAATAACCTTAAAAGGAATAGTGTTTTTATAAAAAAATTATGGTGACTACCACAAAAAACAGAGCAAATATTTATGCCAATGAAAGGATCTAAAGATAACTGTGTTTTAATTACTCTGGGTTTTTGATCAAGTATCTTTAGAAAATTATGTCTATAAAAAAAGAGGAAATGTGATGTTTAGGTTTTTTCCCTTGTCTATGTTTACATGAATCTTTAGGCATGTTTTATCTTCATTCAGACTGTTCTGATTTCATCATCTAGTGGTCTGTTTTTCTCGTGTGGCTGTACATATAATTACGTCTTAACTCTTACATGCTAGTTGGAAGTGTAATCCAAATGAAGGAACTACAAGCAGTTTGGTTTAGTTTTGAAAACCAGCATTATTCACTAATATTTTCTTGACTTTAGTTCAAAGCTCGGGAAGAGCGAATGGGGGTAAGACAGTGTCTTCAGTCCTAGGAAGCCTTTGGGTCAGGCCTTTAGGTGACTGCTACTCCTTAGCTCCCTTGCTCAAAATCTTGCGTTATTCTCTCTGAAATTTACCACCTACCTGATCCCTTTTTCCCCCTTAAGTACCACAATCAAAAAAAGGAAAAGCGCAACTTCTGAAGCCCCTTCTCAGACCTAAAACCTGACCCTACTGCAATAACCATGGCTACAAAGAATATCAGATCAGTCTGTGATGACTTCATTCCTCCATTAGTTCTTAAACTGCCTCTAGGAGTTTGGCTTCGTCAAAGGAGTATCATTAGGAAATCTCAAGAGACAGGCTCCCACAGAGACAATCTGATCTTTAGGAAGAATCTCTTTGTAAAGCTGGCTGAGAAATGAATGTGTGGGTGGGCAAGTGTATTTGTACATAATGAAGATGTGTGCTGTCTGTGCAAGTACACCATTTTATGCCTTCATTTGTCAGTTTTTCTTTCTTTTACAGCACATCAAGGAAATTAGTTGAAATTTCTCTCTCTTAAAACCAGCAGGAGCAATTGCTGTGAAACAAACAATTTTGCAGGGAGAGGAGCCAGGGAAA